GCAAGTAATCCCAGCAGAAGGGGTTACATGCATAGGATGAGCACAGGGAAACAACTAGTAACATCTCCTCTACATGGATGGCATCAAGCTGTATGCCAGGCATGAACGAGACATTGATTCACTGATATACAGCAACAACACGGTAATGTCATTCGGACTGGAGAAGTGTAGTAGTCAGGTAGTCAGAACCGAGGGGATCGAACTCCCAGATGTCAACATTGCAGACATCGAGGACAGCTACAAGTACCCGGGGATCCCACGAGCAAATGGGAACCATGAAGAGACGCTGGGAAAGCTGCAACCACCAAGTACCTGCAGAGGGTCAGGCAAGTCCTGAGGAGTCAGCTGAATGAGAAGAACAAGATCCGGGCCATCAACATCTATGCCCTGCCCGTGATCAGGTACCCTGCTGGGATAATAAGCTGGCCAAAGGAGGCGATGGAAGCCACTGACATCTAAGACGAGGAAGCTCCTGACCACACGTCCTGAGACTGTACACTCAGCAGAAGGAAGGAGGCTGGAGACTGGAGCTGGGCGATATAAGATTTTTTCATATCACGATATGTTTTTTTTATTTCAGGTGATAACGATATATATCACGATATAAGCCAAATAACTATGTTTGTAAGATTTAAATGCTCACAAGTAAAATGTGAAATAATCAGCAGCTTGTTTTGATTTAAATATTTATTTCCCATAATAAGTTCAACAGGGTAGATGTATTTAAGGAACATGAGACCTTTTCAGATAAATAAAGGCAAATATTGCAAACTACACAAAAGGCAGCCGCTAAAGCGTTTAAGTTTCAAAACAGAACAAACAAAACAGACTAAATTGTCAATTCCACTTAGAAACAAAATATTAATTCTAAAAATAAATCTTAGTTTGTTTTACAGAAGAACAAAATTGACTAACTTTTGTCAACATCAAATAAACTGTGAACTAAAAGGAAATTCTCGATCTCTCCTTGTTGTATAGCTGAGCTTTTCAAACAGTTTAACAGTTACTTTAGTCTGACAAAAGCCGAATGACGAATTAGCGCTTCCAGTCAGAGACTGAGCATGCACCGCTTTATTGTATTTCCAGACTTGCTTTCAGCACAATTTACAGTCGCACTACTCTGTTTTTGTCAGACTTGAAATAGCCGAAATACCTTCACGCTACAGAACTTCTGTGGCTCTTCCGTTCGACAATCTCTCCGGCATTGGAACCATCATCTGTTTTCTCTTCGGTAACCTTCGGTCACGCTCTCGGTTGATTTTTCTCTAGTCGGCACACTCATTTCCTCCATTACCCGGGCGTCACGGCGGCTGGCTGCTTCCCAAACAAATACACTTGTGCAGCTTGGCACTTGTGCTGTACGTCACAAGTCACCTGACGTGACGCTGCGGCTGTGATTGGTTCGGCTCTGCGCTACTTAATTTGGATTGGCTGTTCTTTTTTTTTTTTTAAGAGGACAAGAACGGTGAGGTCTATCGCAATAGTTAAATTTTTCTATCGAGAAAAAGTTATTTCGCAATACATATCGTTATCGTTCCATCGCCCAGCTCTACTGGAGACTAGTGAGTGTCAGTACCACGGTCCAGGTGAGACAGCGAAGGCAACGATGGCATCTGGATTTATATTTAACATGGAGGAGTTCGTATGGCCATTTAGTTTGTCCCCTGAGCAACAGGTGGAACTTCAAGTTCTCATAGAAAGAGCTCCTTGTTGATGTCGCTGTTGTTGTTGGTTCTTAACTCAGAAAAGTAAAACAGTAACATTTAAAAAAAATGTTTTTAAAAATGAAAAGTTTTGGTGCTTTGGACACACCGCATTAGATGATGGGAAAAAACAAGCCTCTGCATTTATGAGTGAAAAGAGAATATTACATGTTGTAAGTTTCAAAACACGTTTAAGAAACTAACAAATTAACAACTTCAGATAAACAATTCAAGGAAGATTTTCAGGCAGACTAAAGAAAAAGATGAGATTGTTAGAAAAGTGTCTGCAAACGTGATTAAACTAATGCTGTTTCATGCAGAGTG